AGTGCAACGCTGGAACTCGTAGTAGGGCAGGTTGCAGCAGGTTTTTAACACTTAGACGATGTGCGCATAGTACACCCTTCAAAACCATGCTATACCTTAATGGTAATTTTTTAAAGTACTGTAGAACAGTACCCATATCATCTGATTATGAAATATTTCATAGAGTAGGTAGTGAAAAAAAGCGTTTGAATGCATTTTGTCGAATTTTATCAGAAATATCAAACACGTCATATATTTAAATCAGAAAAATTTTAGGAGTTCTAATCAAGGACGAATTAACGAATGGGTAAAAATGGAAAGAAATGTTATCTTATTCCAATTGTGAAAAATTTCATCTTGGCTCATGTATGAATATTAAAAGTAGAAAAATAGTTATTGGACATCCAAAAGTTCTAAGCTCATTGTAAATGCAGCTAGTAGGAGCGAGATACTCAGTGAAACGGATAACCAGCACATGAATTAAAATTGCTAGTTATTTTCCTAGCTTCCGTATTGCTTCAGAACTACATTTCTTTTTTTTTTGCAATAATGTTTCAGCAGGACCTACAGCAGTAGCTCATGAATAAATTCGGTGCCATAACTTCATGTAATATATCGCTTGAACGCAGACCTGATATATCGGTGTGATTTGGTCATATAAGCATTTCATTACGTGTCTGTCCTATTATGAATTAGTAATACATTTGGTCATATTCAGCGAATTCGGTCAATCCCTTTGATTTGTGTTTATGGCTCAACTGATTTTAGAGCGCCAAGGCATGTACACAGCAGTTTTTGTCAAAAACTTGAACTGCTTTCGGTGCCACTTTATGCTTCGCATCGGTGCCGTATTGTAGTAGGTCATCTGTTGTGATCTCTATATACTCTCATTTAGCTGCATTGTTCTCTAAAATACTTTGTAGTTTGTATATCGCAGCAAAATTTCACTTCCATTTGCCCAGAAAAATCGGTTTTTATGTGCGTCGATACTTACGGTAAGCATATTTTTGTTGCATATTTGCACATTTTGCTCGCGGTCTTCATGTCATAATCTTGTAAAACTCACAGAGACAAGAGCGGCGCACTCCAATCTCTCTGTTATATATGTGACTGAACTTATTGAAGTTTACTCGGTTCACATCATATTAATACAGGCAATTTCAGGAATAGAGAGTAAAGTGTTAAAATGCCTGACGTATAGCAGCAGGTTGGCAGCAAAATAAAACCGTGGGCGCAGAGAACATTCCATGCACAGCAAAAATTCCATGCACAGCAAAAATTAATTTGTCAAAAGGCGTTCAATTAATGGCTCAAAATGCGACATGCCTGCCCATACGTACCTGCTCTCTACTACGTTCAGCTTGCCTTGTACGGCCTCATTAAAACCAATTTCTAAAATTTAACTTTTATGCCATAAAATTTTTTTCCGAAGCATAAATAAATCTTCTCGTTTTTGCATGCAATTGCATGCAATGACTAAATGTTCTTTCATTACTATTTGGCAGTCAATACGAATAATTACTGCTCTCTTGTTCCCAGATATGAGGATGCATAGGTACTCTATAGGAATTAGTTGACTGTGCGACCAAAATTGTTCCAGATCTCATAAAAGAATAGTTGTCCCAGCAATACACATGGCCTCCGAGCTCGCATCAATGCCACGCCCAAACCATCCCTGATCAACAAATGACTCATAAAGCTCGAGTGAACTGAGAATTGCGCACAAATTGTCCGGTGCGGATCAATTTTTAATTACACACGATACGCCTACGCAACCGAATTTACTGATTTATCCTGTTCATATTCGAATTTGCCTATTAATTGTGCTGGTTTTTGTGACCTCATTCCGAACAATTCTGAAAATTTTGTTCGTTAACAAAAGCTTCACACTGTCAGCGACCGCTTATGTACAGTCAAAGTCCCCGCTTCAGACATTTCAATCTGCATAAGGGTTGTTTTTGTTTACATATTCTATATTTGAGATTGATCATCAATACAAATAACTTAAAAGAAGCTATCTCTAACGCAGCCCTTGCAGGTATTTTTTTTAACATATTATTGTAAGAAAGAACTACGCTATGTTCTTGAATTTGTACAGAATAACAAATAGAATATGCCAATTATGAACGGTAATAGCCGTGCGTTCCCGTTATCCATTTTGAGCAAGAAACTCTATCATGAAATGAAGTTCTAAAATAACTTCGCAGTGCCATTGCCATAAACGTATTCAAATAATGTTGAATAATCGTCATCATTATTCATCTAATATCCAGCCACATTAACCCAAAATGAGTATCATTCGGTCATGAACATTTTCATTAATACACATCTTTTGAAGTTCCTTCAAATGAAGACTATTTTCAAACGAAATTCTTCACAAGTATGGAGACCCGTTATGAACTTTCCGGTTACAAAAATGATACGCTTACCGAATGAAGCATGCTAAACGATATGCAGTAGTCATTGTCTGGTATTATTCACCCAGGAAAACCTTGACCTGCGTTTGAATTCAACATATTTGTCAGTATCAAGATGGTGATGAAGTTATTGGTCGTGGCAGGCGCATGAACAATGAATTATTGTCCCATTACCATTAGCTTGTCAAAATTATTTTAACCTTTTATTGCCAACTTATGTGTAATATTTTCTTTCTCTTCAAAACTAACGAAGTTTTCCCTTCATTCAGGATAAAGCAATAGTTAAATCAAGAAAACAAATGAAGAGTTCTCTGCTTTCTCTCGGATTCAAGAATAAGTGTTGATATTGATGAGGTAGTTGCAGAATTGTTTTCATCTCAATCACATGGCAAACTTATTTTCGATCATCATGAGGATAATTTTTTATGGCGGTGAGCAATTCATTTCAAATAAAAATTTTATCATCAGATAACCAAAATTATCTTTGTGGTGAAGCTGGAAAAATAGAATTTCTTTCTATAGTGTCTCGACTGTAATTCTTTTGAATTTCGATTGTAATTATTTTTAATTCAAGCTAGGAAAATTACGGTGGAATGATATACGTTCTGCTCTGTAATGCCGTAAGCAACGCAAAATTTCTGTCTCTTCAGCCTCTGCATGCGGTTATTCCAAATAAGCGGACTAGCACATGGGCAAAGTAAAGAACTTTAGATAATGCATTTTGAAATGATATGGACTTCTCACCACACTGCATACTTGGATGAAGATGAATAAAGTTTTCCCTTAATTCAGGATAAAACAATAGTTAAATATAGAAGAAAAAAAGAAGATTTATGAGTCGAACAATAATATGTCCGGTCGAGTATTACGTAATGATGTTACGGGGCTAGCTTTCACAAGGCGTAACGCAATATCTTAACTTATTCCGACACAACCCACCAGCCTCGTCACGCTTCCCTCAGTTCGACACAGACGGGAGAATAAAGGCGTCCGGCCATAAAACTCTCATTCAAATAAGCAAAGGGATTATTAACATGTGTATGAAGTCTCAAGTGCAGACATGAGAGGTCTCTCTTCATGAGAGATAAACATATTACCAACACAGGTAGAATTCAATTGCTGATGCCTAAAACACACGACAAAACCTCACAATTGTTCCCGACTAAATCAATACAAGTTAAACATTACAGGAACAAAATCAAGTTCATATAAGAAAGACAACTCTATTGATCATACTTAAATTATCAAATGACTGAGGACACCATCCCGCAGTATACACAGCCTTTGTAATGTGGTGGCGCATACCGAACGACATCATGTATATTTTATGTATATGAAATGCTTCCATTCCGTATTTCATGCTCAATCCGGCAACATTGCGAGGAAGTCTGATTAATTTTGTTTAAAATACAACCTAAACTGCATATCTATAAACGTAATATTCTCCTCTTCTTCAATGAGAATACCATTCGCAAATCATAGCTTACCTGAAACCTGGCAAAGGAAATAGAGGCACATACCTGTACGTAGCTCGGATATAGCCCTACAATCGAGATCCTCGGGAAGATGATTAAGCAATGATCTCTGGGGTACCCAGTGAAAATTTACAGACGCGGCAGCTTCTGATTTGGATTACCAGAAGCTGGGGCGACTCTATATTTTGTTAGGGTACGCGTGACGCGAGCAAAGTTGTGCCCTGAAGAGGGCAAGCGGCGGCTGGAGCTCTGAACGGGCGGCGCCAGAGGTCAGGCTGGGCCGCGGACGCCAGTGTTGCGCCAGAACTCGTTGTGGACCAAGCGCTCGATCAGCTCGCTGCCGGGCCGCTACCCAGTGCCTCTTCGTGCATAACCTAGTGCAATATCAACCTATAACACATGTTAAACACCTCTGAATTTTATCATAAGAAATTAGATTTTCTCTAGTGAGTTGTATTGGCGGATATAAATTTAATGAACTTGCAATCACAGTTAAGCTGTGTACATTTCTGTAGTGTCCTGAGTCATTGAAACTCGTTTTACTTTGAACGCAGTTGGCGGAAAATGTTTTATTGGCGTTCATGTTCTATTTGACAGCATTCCGTAGCAAATTCGTAATTTTAATATATTTTCTTCGCAAATTATAATACATGACAGTTCGGCTAAATAACGAGTGGTGGCACAACAATCATGAATGATCAGTCCCTCAATTAAGTCATACAGACACTGATTACAACCCATCTTCACTACTAATACACATCGAATGATACCGAAAATATTGCGTGTAATTTGTATTTGATCTCTAAAAAGGACAAAAAACTGATATTCTTCACGTAAAAAACTAAGAGAGAACAAAAGATATAATACGAATCGGACAAACAATTAATAAAGCTCGTAATGCAAACCTTATTCCCTCGCTAGGAGAGGGGTTGGTGTGAACAAACTTTGCACCCCAAAGGTGTATCTCACGAGTCGTGACCCAGAGCTTTAGGCATGACCTCCTGGTGTGGATGTGGCAGAGGACGTCGGTCGTCATCTCCCTTGACGTGGCTGCCTCCTGATCTTCCAGAGCCGCGATGACGGCGTCCTGGCGCCTCTCGGGCAGCTCAAGGATCTTTTTCATCCACAGCCAGCATCCTTGGGGGGCGCCGCAGTGCCAGCAGCAGCGTCAGCAGCGCAGGGCGTTTCAGCACCACGACGCACGACACGCTCCTGCCGCCAGACACTCTCTTCATCCCTGATATAATAATCCCTCCTAGTTCACTTTTCCCGCCTCCTGGTCTCCAGCTTCCCGTCAGGAGAAGCTCTGCTGAAAGTCCCGGCATTGCGCCTGAACTCAAGCAGATCGAGCACGTCTCGCAGTTGGATTTTCCCGACGAAGGCCCCCCTTGCCTCTTCTGCCGATCTCCTCCGTCGTCAACAACTCACGACCCTTCAATGCTGTCCACTTTGTCTGGAGGTGCGGAGTTATTCAAATAGATTTTCAAAAAAAATTTATAGTGTGGTCTATTAGAAAAGAAACTGACATAATACATATTCTCCTTCAAGTGAAATGCCGTTTTTTATAATTTTTGTCTAATCCAAATCAAAAAGAATTGTTTTGCAACGGCTATTTGCACAGATCCCCCTTAATAATGTCAGATCATCAAACGGAAAATTTTTTTGTATTACGTTTTTACCTATAATTTTATCTTTCTCGCAAAATTTCTTTCGACAGTTTCCTCGCTGTTTGTTTTATACTGTAAAGCACGGCGGAAAATTAGTTGATCAATGTGCGTTGAAAAATTCAACAAAATAATAAAAAATAAAACAAAAATTAAAAAAAAAACTTCTACGGTGTTGTCCTCCAACAACGCGCCTATTTGTTGTTGCGACGCTTCAAATGAATGAAATCGCCTCAACTCTGACATTATTGTTCATTTCATGACAATAGAAAAGTCTGAACCATCTATTAAACTTCTATTTCAGCGTCGTTTGACATTCACTTCTAGGGAAAAGTTTCTGCCGAACTTAATACGATCAGACAAAGACAGCGCTTTGATTATAATTAGCTTTTCTTCTCTGGAAAAATATCCTCAACGGGACACAATTTGTTCGCTCTGATGTTTATCATCGATAAAAGAATGTTCATCTTTTACATATATCATAAGTTGTTGGAAATAACCTATCCAGCAATTTGGTGATGAAAGTGATGTAATGAGATATGAAGATCAGATTTTTTAAACTCGTTAGCTTCATATTAATCTGAAAATATAAAAGTGAAAGCAATGCTTCGAATATCTCATTATAAATTATAAGAGTATTTCAAATCATTACGATGCGCTAGAAAAATAAACATATCGTGGAAAGGAAGAGAGGCGAACACATAATTTACTTTGCTAATTGTCAATCATTTAATTTTTGTTTAATCAATCAACTACGAAAAGAGTATCGAAAAATTGCAAAGTTGTTTTAAAAAATAATTTTGAATGCTAAGGTCTTGATACTCGTATACTTAGGTCACACAAGTATAGTTCAAATTTTATAATTTATAATGCTATTCTTAATTTATACTCATGTCTTAAAACCACTTAAACAAATGTTCAAATTTTTATTTCCTAGCAAATCAAAGGTTTGAGCTAACACCACATGATTGCAAGACCATGTCAGCTAAACTGTCTAATATCATCATAGTGAGTCGAGATAATGTGTATCTATATATATGAGCTAAAAATTTTTTAATTACTTTAAGAGAATCGGTACTCTAAAAATGCAATTTAAAGAGACTGAACGATTATTCGTAGTTCAATGAAATAACACAGACTAAAATTTTAACAATTCCCTGCAGCCAAGAAGAATTTCGCCGTTGCTAAACTTGTGTATTGAAGATTTTCAGAGTGGACCACAAATTTGAGTTAGTTTTTTATTGTACATAATGTAGGTTAGTTCAGTGGAAAAACTGAGCTCAATTAAGCCTGCCACGAGATTGTCGGCCTTGAAGTACCCCCACGCTGTGGGATTGTATCGATGAACTGCTTTACTAACGGCGCTCGGGATGATTATGTAATGATCAGTTGCCATGGCTAAGGGTACGCACACAGTGAAAGCAGGTTTGCCCGCGCGGGCAACCTGCTCCAACCTGCCACAAGAATGAACATAGGATAATAATGTAAGTGTTCACAGTGAAAACCTGTACGAATAGGCTTCTGTATTCTATGGTTTCAGGCGCCAGCCTGAGCAGGTAACCAGCACGCTGGCAACCTGCTTTCACTGTGTGCGTACCCTATAGCAGGATTACGGTCTCAACAAAAGATGTTGGCATGGAGACAAACATGACTGATTCCAAGTATCTCTGCTTCAAATGTTTTTTCTTAATATACTCTCATATAGTCAACGGAGCTGTCTCTGCTCTAACTAACAGGGAAATATCCGCAACATACACTTGAGTCAATGCTTGGTATATTTCGAATGTCCCTAATGGCTTTTAACTACGGAGAATCGGGCACTTGAGGCTCATATAATTTCTGTAACTTTTTAAGATAGCTTTGGTCTTTGCGTCTCCAAGTATTACAAATTTTAGTCCATACAACAGCCACATCCGATTGAATAATATGTGATTGTGGTGGGCTCATGAATACATGCTGAACTCCACTATGCTAACAATCCTTCTGGGTGCTCATTTGGTGACAACATGGTGGTCATTTGGTAAAACATAAAACATGTTGCATTGTGGCTCGTCTCATAAAAGGAGTCCATTACATCAATAATAAGTTCAATAATGTGTCGATACATATGACATCCCACGTTGCAGCAACGTGTCATGCATGCACGTGCCACAACATATTAAATAAATCGTTCAGCCCACACAACAGAAATTTAATTCCAACGGACGAAATTGATTTTTCGTAGAGTAGTTGATGTTGTTTCTTGGTTGAAAGCTAGCCCGTTAAGTAATCTTTGTTGACAAATTGATGTAATATTTTTATTTTTCTTTGTTTCATTGAACAATGACTGTCATGAGAACGAATGCTCGATAAATGGATATGGGCCCCGATGAGCAGCCAGAGAACTGCACCAGACGTCATGGTCAGAGTAATTCTGTTTGTTTCTTTAAAAGCATTGAATGGTGAATGGAGTGAATTGGAATGTGGTTAAGCGGAAGAATGAACAAAAACGGTCTAGTAACAAGCATATTCAATTAACCGTTTCAGTTCAGTATTAAGATGTCATCCCCTGCTGGACTTTTATCCATCTCTATTCAACCACCACTTTGAGTGTGATAATCTTAACCCAAGAGAATATTCTTGGTATTTATATTATGTCTATTTTATGTGTTATCATCACAATCCCAATGTTTGTCCGTATTGCCAAGGGTAATTAGCGACTCTATCTATTGACATATTAAATATTATCTGACTCTGAACATTAGAAAGATGATGTAACATTCGTTGTCTTTTGTGTTTCGTAAAAAATCCCGTCACAAAAGAAAACCAAAAATATATCAACTTATTTCAAACAACCAATTTATCGATGCCTAAATATCAGGTCATATAAGGCCAATAATAGCCCTCATTTAGAAAAATCATTCAACTACGACCATCCGCCGACAATTCAACAGAAGGGAAGGTCGAGATCTAGATTACAGAAACTTTTTGACAAATTCAGCCACACACAAGACAGATTTTTATAAAGATTTATTTTAGTGCAAATTGATTCCACCGACTAATCATTCCGGGCGGGCCAACTATAAGAATCGTAACAAAATATTCTTGAATAAGAGAAGCTATATAGTGGCAAAATCTAAATTGGACAGCCACAAATGCCAAAACATTTTTTCAGTTTCGATATCATCCATTGAAATAGGATAATATCATATTGAGTGTAATTTGATCTCTATGCTCCATAGTATGTAAACGAGGTCAGCTCTTCAGTTGTAGAACTTCTGTAAAATGAACACGATTTATTGTCTGATCAATGTACTTCTTTTTTTTTGGTTTTGCTATTTTATGCAGATTTGTTGCCATCATTAATTGTACTATAATAAACTGGGAAAGCAATACTGACCGAAGTTTCCCATCAAACTAACTGCACAAAAAAAATGTCCTGGAACAAAGTTATAAATCGGGACAATAATTGTGTCCCTGAATTTCAAAATTTTTTCTCGACATTTAGAAATTTTACGAAGCAGACAATGGAACGGACCATAACTATTAATGATCGAGACATTGCGTAATAATACGAAAGTGGTATGCTGAACGCACAAATTAGAGATGATTCAATGCATGATTATTGATAGGCAGTTGGTCAGATTTCTTGACATTTGGCTGCCAACATAACTTAGCAGCCACAATATTGATTCGCTTTCGATGGATGGCTGGGAGAATATTATTCTTTGGTAAGGCATTTATCACTGAACGAATCATAATTTATACACCTCAGACTGCAGACCGACCTTCCTCAATGCGCGTTTCAGGTTTAATGACATCGACGACGATGCGCCGTTCGATGACGATCTGTAGGCGCTTGCAAGAGCCTACAGACCCATCGCCTGTGGGCCCGCGAACATATTCACGGGGACAGCTGTGACGGTCATTACTGGCTGCCACTAGCTGTGACGGTCATTACTGGCTGCCAATAGTTATGACGGTCATTACTGGCTGCCAATAGTTATGACGGTCATTACTGGCTGCCAATAGTTGTGACGGTCATTACTGGCTGCCAATAGTTTCATGAATATAGAAACCCCAACAATTGCGACTGGCCATGATACAAACGGCCTTTTTCCTGTCAGATGTCTAGAATTTATTTCGGTATATTTTGTTTCATTTTGGCTAAGATGCAATTGACTAGAATTGCTTTAGGTATGGAATGAACGGTTGATTTTCATCTCATATTGAGAAAGCTAAACGTACATTATTCACATTTCTTGCTCATAATAGGCGCTATGTATGATATCTATGTTCTCTCGTTGTGACTTTTAGAAGTTCTGATGGAATAAATTTTTCTTACATTTCTTTTGATCCAATATTTGTTTCTCTTACTTATTTTCCAGTGAAAACATTGAATAGATCATAGCCGCAGCTTAGCTTTATCAGTGTTCTATGCAGCATCAATTTTATATGAGGTAATAAAGGCCATGTGCTGCTTTTCTCAATTGTAGTGGCTTAAAAGGCACTTAAAATGGGAATGGCTTAAAATGGCTTAATGCACACGCCTACAAGTGCAGTCAGTGCATGCCTTGTTTTCCTACCTCGATGTACGAAATTTTCACGTTCCTTAGTAGTAGTTCAGTTTTGACTTTATTTTTAGATTTGATACTGAATTAGTACTTGGAATTTGGAGACACGATTTAGCAATTTTGTCTTCAAAGCAGTGATTTTGGTAGAACGATGAGCTAAAAACAAAATTACTTAAAATATTCAAATATTTCTAGCAATACTGGAGCCATACATTTTTCGAAATTTGTCCTTGCTTGGTCCA